GTGTGTGTGTGTGTGTGTGTGTGTGTGTGTGTGTGTGTGTGTGTGTGTGTGTGTGTATAGAACAAAAAGGAAGACAATACGCAGCTTGGCAGCATTAGTAAGCCCTTGTGTAATAGAAAGGTGATCAATAACTTCCCATAAAACTTGACAATTCTCAGTTTTCTATTTACTAGAATTCACAAAACTCCTCACCATATGTAGGAAATGACTAGGAACCAACACAAAATGATCAAAACAGACTGTGTGTGTGGGTGTGTGTGCATCAGTAACCAAGTACCTGCTAAGATGATTTTTGGTACACTTCGAAGCTCCAGTCTTCTCACCCTCCCTGACATCTTTGCTTACTTGCTTACTTTGACTATGTTGCTGTTTCTCCACCACTGCAGTCGTCTTATCCACTTCATCTGAAGCCTGACTTTGCTGAGCCCTAGAGCAATCCATCTCTAAACACGGACTGGCTCTCAGTCTTCGTCTCTCACCTACTTCCTCTGTGTATGAGCTCTAAGAACCCAGCTTTCAAGATTTTGAGATCTGACGTTGATGGTCTGAGTGATGTCATGGAGTATTACCGCTCAAACCACATTAACTAGTCAAACTGGATCTCAGCAGACCCGCTGATACAAAGACAGACAGGAGTTAGCTAATGAAAGAAGTCATCATCACATTGAGGTTTGAGTCTTGCAGCTGACAGAGTTTTACAGTGACAAATCTGCCAAGATGTCCTGAGACACATGCAAAGCACCAGATGAATGAAACTTGTCTCAGATCCTTAATTCACAAGAATGTTTCTCCACTGTATTTTTCTATAGTAAAGACTAAATTTTGAAATTTAGGAAACAAACTGAAGATACTTGGCCAAGATTACAACCACCCCAGTACCAACATAATACAGTTTAATATGTTCAACAGAATAGCAGGCTTAAAAAAGTAAAATAAAGAAAGCCAAGTCCACAAACCTTTCAAATCACACTTACACACCTCCAAATCAGGATGTAGTTGATTAATCACTTGTTTACTCATGTAAATCAACCAAAATATCTATAATACACAGATTATATTCACAGGTGAGTACACAAAAGCTGACGTTGTTTCTGATTAGAAGCAGCACCACTGGACTAAACATACAAACGATATATAGATGATAACTAACTGAAAATGCAAAATATTGCTGTTAATGGGTGCCTAAGACAAAAGCTTCTGCCTGTTGAAAAAAACTCTTATTTATTTATTTATTTTAGTTTACCTGCGTCGAGAATAATGTTGGCTGAAAGACAGAATTATCTTCACAAACTGGGGTCTCAGTGTCATTTCTCTCCCGGCTGTCCACAGAACAAGATCATAGCACAGGTGTGAAAGTGATTTTGCATCCTAGTGTTTAACTGCAAGCATACTTACATTACCATGTGAGACAGGCATTTGCCAAACACACTCACAGATCCATATCGCTGTATGCATAAACAGTAAGTCAAAGAATGTTGTCTTACCACTTGGTGTTCTCCTATTCTGTACTAAAAGTCACAAAATAAATTGTTTATATTTTTTAGCTTTTCACAAAGCCTTTGTACGAATCTTCTAGAGAGGAACAAACTGAACTCTGAGCAAACAGTTGGAAAAAATATACCTTCCTAGTGTGTTGCAGAAAAGCAATCTGAAGTTCTTAATAGTGCCAAAATGAAAGTCAAAAAATATTGGATATGAGGCCAAATGAAAGCCAACAATATAAAGATCATAACGCTTCCAAATGCACTCTTAAACTAATCACGAGGGCGCTTTGATGGATCCTCTTTAGCTTCTTATTGCAGCGAAGAAATCAGACGGAGCGCATCTTTGATATATAGTCAGTGAAGCTGACTTAAAGAAGAACTAGATGACTAACTTCCTGTTAATGCACATACATCCACTTCTAACTGTTCAGTGACGTTAAAGATCATTGTGCAAAGACAGAATATCCAATGGATCAGTCAGGGTAACTTCTTAGTGTCACGGTCCGCTGTGACGGACCGAGTGGAGAATGCGTGTAATGGACCCAGGTGCGTACACAAGTGAACAGACGGGAGTGAGCTTTAACAGAAGGCGAGCCTTTAATATGGCTGAAAACAAGGTGTGCAAATACAGCAGGGATGGCGTGGCTAAACAAAAACCTAAACTGGGAACAAACTATGGTGAGGCTATGGCTTGGAAGACAACAGACCAGGCATGGAAACACGGAGGGTAGGAACACAGACGACGCGACACAGACTGTAAGAAACACAGAGACTAAATACACATGAGGGATGATCAGGGGAAGTGGCCACACATGGGAACGCAGCTGACACACATGAACTTAACGACAGGACAGGAGGAGTGAGCTGAATACACAGACAGTGAATGCAGGCCTTCAAAGTAAAACAGGAAACATGAGACATGAACCGGGGAGACGTAGTACAGGGGGAGGTGACATAACTGACAGCATGAACTTGACAGTACAAGACACACAGACATAAACACACGAAGGGCAAGGGAGACGTAATGCAGGGGTGATATATACAAATGGCTGGACTACCTTAGAGAACCTAAACAAATAATAAACATCAAAATAGGCTAAGCATAACACACTGGGTCACATGACCCAGGACCATGAGACTTAGGAAGACCTCAATCTAAATGACTAACAAAAAAAGCCGTCCTCTGGACTATACTGGGTGTTTACAGTCATAGTGTTGTGGTAATGTGGCAAAGTGGACATGTTATTAAAAAATTTTATGCAGTACACATTTTCCTTATGATTTGAATTTTAGCTCTGCAAATATTTATTCAGTCATTTTACACTCCATTGATTAAAATAGGCACTTTTTCTGAAAAGCTTTGATGGCAGAGGGCCTGCTGAGACGTTCACATAATAAACTTGCACTTCCTGACCTTGCTCCCTGTCATTTGTGCACAATGCTCACGAACCTGTTAACATCAACTCTGTAAGAATTTGCCAGTGCAGCAACAAGAGGAAGGAGAGAAGAGAGCAGGATGAGTATACCACTAGGATTTTGGGTTTGAGCTGGGCTCTCAGTGACTTTTCCACACACACGGCCCAAAAGGTGACGTTCTGGTGATTGAATAGTTTGTATTGATCCTTTTGTAAAGGATTGAAACACTTTCAGCCCTTAAATGTTGAAAATATCCACTCATACTGAATTATGTGAGTGATTTATCTAGAAGCTGGTGCACTGAAGCATGATGAAGAATGATGTATTCGATAAGTGAGTGCACCTTTTATACAGTGAATCATCCAATCAGTCTGTGACAACCTGTGGTTGGTGGGATTCTTTTCTTCGCTCTTCGCTTTTAGACATTACATGGTTTTCATGTTAGTTTAGCAAGGCTAAATCTGTTTTGGGCTTGTGGTAGTGTAGCTGAAGTAGATAGTGTGAGTTTATAGCATAAGCTTAAATAAATATGTTCACTGACCCAACCTGTGACTGTCACCTTTGTTTTCTGTGATCATTAAAGATAATCCCATAATCTTTGATGATCACTGTATTATTATGACTGTAAACATTATATTTTTTATGATTACAGAAAAGAAGTTCATATCCAATCGAACTACTAGCATCTTACTGCAACATCCCAGTAACTGGAAACTTACTCCCACATGGTCAGTCACCTAAAGGTTTCAACGCATCAATCATGCAAAGCCAGAAATACTTGACATCCTCCACAAGGGGGAGGGGAATCAGACCCAATGTTTAAAGAAATACTTTTGAAGTTATGATTCATTAATACTAATACTGTCTGGCTTCAGGAAGTCTTCCGAAGACCGTGGTAAACTTCTCAGAAACTGAACACTGAGCAGTGAAAAATGAGAAAAGATTATAAAACTTAAATGTCCTATAAATGTCATACTGACTTATATAAGTATCATATGTTGCTGTTTTAGAATAATTTAAATCTTCATCTGATTGTGCATTTTTTCCCATCTTTTTCGTCGTTTTTCGTGTTTTTACTTGAGGGAATGTTTTATTTTCCTTTTATTTTCCTTTTCTTTAAATGTAGGCATATATTTCTGACATAGCAGAGGTGCGCAAGAGAAGTTTGGCTCCATCTACGGACGAGCGCAAGTACTACCACCTATTCTCTGGAAAATTACGCGCCGTTGAAAGGTATTTTAATAGGTCGCAGTCGTGCCCTTATTATCACAGATGGCGGTTTGCTTTCTGGGCTCTACATCTGTTCATTATCTGATTAAATTAATAAAGGGGCAAAGTGCGGACTAATTAAACTAATGTCCAGACAAATTGAGTCACGCGATAAACTTTCACGCGATAAAATGTTTACTTTTCTTGGACTTTGGGTAAAATGGTAGTGGCCTTCGTCCTTGGCCGTGTTTCGCCTGTTCTGTATGAGCTAACCGCGCTGAGGTCATCACTTGCGAAACGCGGCTGAGATGGTCCGCACCTCTGACGAAGCTCGCACGTTAAACATCCTGAAAAAACTGCGTCTCGTATTTTATACAACAGCACACGTCAAACATCTTGAACCAGCGGCTGAACTCGCCTCGGGCGATGGAGTCTGCGCAAAAATATAAAAAGAAGCAGAAGCGGATTATCTGGGTTATCGTCCTCTCAGCAGCTCTCACGCAACTACGCCGGTAGCCGCGTTGTTCTCGTCATTTGGCGACCAGCAGCACCTTATTAGCATGTGTGTGAAGGTAGCACTCGTGTAAACGTGTCTTATTAAACGTCCTACCTGCATATCTGAAGGGGGGATGCTGCCTCGCCCGTCTGCGGTGCCGACATGGTTCTCGTGTTGCAGTGAGATTCGTGTGTGATGTGAAGGGAAATCACTCTCCCGGCGTCCGCCGGCTGCTGTGGTCACAGTGTCTTTGCGAAATGGCTCGATTAGAGGAAATGTGCAGAGCTCGTAGAAATTATCTGCTAAATGTTTTGCAAAATCTGTTCTTTCAAATTGCCCTAAAATAATAAACTATTATATTATCGATATAATAAGCCAGAGAAGATCCTTTGCATTCCATAGCTTCCTAAATTGTTAAATGAGAAAGGCATGTTTGAGAAACAGAAACCTCAGCTATGTCAATACCTATAATCGTCCAGAGGGGGGCAGCAGAGACCGCACTTTCTCAAACTATTCATTCAGGAGCAATATTTTATGCTGCCTGCTGTGGGCGCATTTGACCTCAAAATGCGTCCCAGAGTTTTTGCAGCCAGTGGCGTCAGTTTTGTTCACATCTGCCTGACAACTGTCTCATATAATACTTTGTTCATTAATTTTAAAAAATGCATTCAATTCTCTACGCCACGTTTTAGCTCAAAAAACTCCGTTTTTTTATGTACACATTGGTGCTGCATTGTCTGCTTTCTTCCTGTAATATAGGTCAGTTCATACTGCCAGTTTTGCTTTGCAAATTTGCTGCGTGCCTTGTCCTGCCCCTGTCCTTACAGTTAAAATCACAGTCATCTTTGTGTGCGCATGGTCCAAAGAGCGTTTTTCCTTTTATTACTGAATAAACGATCCATATCAATAAACCTGTAAAAGACCAGAAAGTCTAAGCACAAACACAAAGCGAGATCTAACTAGTTTATTTATTCATTTATTGTACAAAATATACAATACAATTTGCTGTAAACAGCAAAAATACAACACACCCCAACAGAGATACTCACTGCAGACATTTTATGTCTACAAAGTTCATCTGCACAGATTCAGGACTCTGAAGTCTGTTGTGCAAATTCAGACATAAACTGACCCTTTGGGTCTTACAGGGCTGTTTCAATGGCCCCTGATTACTTAGTCCGCGACGAGGACTAAATATTGAACGTATACATACATGCAGATTTTTTAAAAAATTCATATATACACGACTGTCTACACTTGTCAGCTTGTACAGGACAAAAGACTCGCGCGCAAAACGAGTATACAATACTCAACCAATACGATGAATTGTTGCTTTTCATCACGGAATCCAAGCTCTTAATCACTGTGTGTATTTACAGGTAATGCTCTCTCAATATTATTCCCAACATTAAACACATTACAGTCTTTTTACAGCTGTCGGAGGACCACTTAAAAAATTTACCAAGGTCTCCACACTGCAGCGCTGGCAATCTGCGAATCTGACTGCGCTTGGTTTGGGACCGCTGCGCTGCTGCGTTGCTGACTCTGCACCCTGGAGCTGAAGCTGGATTTGATGCTCAAGAGTCTCTGATGGATCTGAGGCAAAGTCATCGAGGTCTGGGCGCAGCAGTTCAGGCAGGTTGGGGTGACGGTGGCGGATATGGACTGCTGGACAAATTCATTGACGCGCTGGTGTGCGTCTGGATCCAAGTTGGTTTGGGGAAGCAGAACAGAGACGCGTTTAAGGCACGCCTTAAAACCTTCCCTGTAATTCTCTACAGAACCTGAAAAAACAGATAAATGTTAGGATTGATGTTCATCTAATCTGTTGTTAATACATTTAGAAATAAAAGGGTTAAATAAGTCATAGCTAACTTACTTTTAGCGTTAGCAGGTTGAATGTCACCGAGGAACCGCACGGTCATTTCCAGGATGTCTGCTTTCTCAAGCTTGGTGTAACGAGAGTGCTGGAGACAAAAGGGAAAAGAAGATGTTAGATGTACGAGTCAAAATGCTGTGCTGACTATAGTCAGTTACATCTGCAAAGTGAGCATACTGAAAATGTAAATTCAAACAACTTACATCTCTGCCTGTGAGGGGGATGATTAGGTTTTTTAAGCGGGTCAGACTTTCGTTAATACGGGCGCGTCTTCTTTTTTCCATTAGCGGTTTCATAGTCTGAAACAAAAGGACACATAGAATTTAGTATTCATTCATTACAACATGTGTGAAGTATGCGGTAAAAAATATTTAAGGAAATGAAACTAAATTTAGCCACTTTGCTTACCTTTCTCAGTTCAAGAGCTTCTTTTCTTTTGGCAAGAGATAGCTTTGGGGGAAAAGATTGGAGAGCTTCGCATGTCATGTTCGGAGACATTTTCAGCGTCGACTTTGTGCCAGAGTAGTGTTCAAAACCAAGATAGGCGAAGTTGTGCCTCTAACGGCCAAGTACTGGGGTATATATCCAGGTCCGTGGCGTCGGTTTCCGTGCGTCATGGGTACGCCCCCAAGCCGGCACAAAACGATTTGAACGGGACCCACATTCTACGAAAACAAGACAAAAGCATCAAATTTAGTCAGATAACCATCTGTCTTTTACTTTAATCCAAGCCTAGCTGCGGTGCGTGTCTGCGTTATGATCCATAGACCAAACAAAATCTGTGCCAAAAAGCTGAGGAAATTTGTACGTAAAGAAGCTTCCAGTTTTGACGCGTCAAATGCTAATTCATCAAATATCCATTCATTAAGCCATACATTTTACATCATATTTTAAATATAATGTTTTAATACAAAGATAGGTTCATTTTGTTTCTCACACAGTTGATGGAACTAAATTTTGTTTTGTTTCGAAAACACTACTGGTGCGTAATGACGCAGTGTTCGGAGATGCCTAGAAAGAAAATACAGGCTCTAGAATTATTTATTTTGTAATTTAACTATGAAATATAACAAGCTACGCATATAAAATCACATTTTATCCGTATTCTCACTTTTCACTGGCTATTATTAAGATTTTCTTTACAGCTGAATTTCCTGTTGCTGTTCAAATCTGTTCGTTTACTGGGATATAATGCGTGCAATTCTGACACAATATTCTTCATATATTCTCTGCATGGAGCTGTGTGTTTAAAAATAAAAAATAAAAATTTAAAACAAGAGGATGCAGTACATGCATTAGTCGCACAGGGGCCAGGCTTGCATTCAAGAAAAAAAAGTGTCCACATGGATATAGAATCTTACTCCAGGCATATATACCCAAGCCACGCTACTTTCAAATAACATCTGTTCTTAGATTTTTACAACAATGGTTTTGCATGTGACGTTTTTATGCAGTCTCTACCCAGGGGAGGTCTCTACCTGTAGGGTGTATCCCACTACAGCTAACGCATCATGCAGTCAGGTGGGGGCTTGAAAAAACAAAGGGTGGGTGCTGTGGGTGCATTTTATTAAATCACAATAACCATAGCAAAATATAAAAGGACACCAGGTTGTAACTTACTCACAAGGCATTTTAAATGTTTTTGTCCGTTTACCTGTCCGTGGTCTAAAAGTATTTAATAACCCAGCAATCTGTCCTGCCAAGTGTGAACCAACTTTAGGTGACAACTGTGATATTATTGTTATTGTTTAAAATATAAACTGGAGAGGCATGACAACCCATCAAATACCACTGCACTCTGGGGAACCACACGCGCAGCACGCGCCACGGGGACCAGATGGCTGTCTGTTAAAGAGCTCCCAACTCTACCAACCCCCAACCTCCATTAATGACCCCCACACCCCACATACTCCTCCTGCACCTCTGTAGCATCCGGAGTAAGCAGTCTCCTGGTCCAGTCTATGCGCGCGCACGCATACACACAGAGAGACTGTTCCAAACATTTGTGCTCTTTTTCTATAAACCTCACACGCACGACACACGATCTCAACGCGGTTTTTGGCGTGGGTATCCCATCTGCAAGCTTCTAATAGGTCCATGTTGTTAGGGTCCAACTGAAAGAAGCTTTGCATCTATCCCGTTTTACTCTATGCTGCAGTTGTCTCCCATAGCTTGCCTCTGTTTTGTTTTCTTTTTTTTAAGCGTCCACGCTATCGTGACATGGTTGTTTATCATAACAAAGCTCAATCTTTTCACAGAGATGAAAGATGTTTGAGCAGGAGTGCATGACTCTGTCGATATCTTTTCGAAGCAGTATTATTTTGTCTTACCGGAGACAGTGGTAGCAAAAAATAAAATAAAACATGACTGTAAAATTCTCAATTCTACTACTAAATTCTCTAATATAATATATATCCTATCTTTCCACCTGGTTCAGTTTGAGTTAATATTTTTTAACGCAATAGAGTATAGGTATAATATTGAAATGGGGTCGATTTGTGAAGCTATCTTAGTTCAGCATTTAACTTCAAATGTAAACAAATAAATACTAAAGGGGTAAAATATGGAGATCAGAAGCCTGCAAAAGATCTTCAAACGAAGTCAAACCCTGTTCTGAAATTGAGAGGCACACTTGCTGCACGCGCCCCTCGCGCCCTGCTGGGATTGCAGGACGATGGTGGTGGGAGGGGTCGGCTCTTCTCTGTTTTGCTCTTACGGTTAGAGTCCTCTTTTGTGTTTTCAATCAAATTCGGCGTCGACAAACCATCTGTGCAGACCGATAACAGCGAGCCTTTGTCTGAAATGTACCAACACTTCATGGGAATTAAGGGTGGAGAGACTTTTTGCCTCATCTCGAGATTCGATGCTTTTCACGACTCAAACAACGGAGAGCACCAAATTCAGTATTTTTCTCTAACCATGTACAGTTCACCTATTTTAGTGGAGGCTATCACTTCGGTGGAAACGTAAAAATATAATTTCTCGGTGAATGTAAAATTGAAAAAAGTTTGAAAGAGTATGAATATTAATTACTTCAGAAGAGTGTCAATTAGGCTAAACTCCCCAAACTGAGCTCTTACTACAACGTCTATATGTCTGCTCGAGTGCAGAGCGCCAAACAGGGAGTTAAAAATCTAAAGAGTAGTGATATGAATGAATATGAATCTCTTTTTACTACTTCATATAAGAATTTAAGCCGTTTTTTTCTGACACCTAAACTGTGAAGTTCTATGACAACTGACTGTTATCATAAACTGTTCTATGATAAAGTCATAACTATGGAGAAATAAATGACTTGTAACATTTTTCCATTTGTTCAAATTGGAATTGGAACAAATGGAAGTAAATTCTCGTACTGTGCAAAGGTTTTGGGTAGTTGTGGAAAAAATGTTGTAAACAGAGAATGCTTTCAGAAAGATAAATAATGATTGTTTATTTTTTATCAGTTTACAAAATGAGCAAACAAACAAACCAGCATCAATTCTCATAGGTACACTTGATCAAATTCAGGGACTTTGTAGGATTACAGTCAGGTGATCAATCAGTTATACCAAACAGGTGCTAATGGTCAGAAACAGCTGTGTAAGAGACCTAAAACTGGGTGATGAACAGCCAAACTCTGCTACCAAGGTGAGGTTGTGAAGGACACTGCATCAGCAAGGTCTCTCCCAGACAAAGATTTTAAAGCAGACTGGGGTTTCAAGATGTGCTGTTCAAGCTCTTTTGAAGAAGCACAAAGAAACAGGCAACATTGAGGATTGTAGACACAGTGGTCAGCCAAGGAAACTTAGTGCAGCAGATGAAAGACACATCAAGCTTATCACCCTTTGCAATCGGAAGATGTCCAGCACTGTCATCAGCTCAGAACTGGCAGAAACCAGTGGGACCCAGGTACACCCATCTACTGTCCGGAGAAGTCTGGATGGAAGTGATGTTTATGGAGGAGTTGCAGTCAAAAAGCCATACCACTGACGTGGAAACAAGACCAAGTGACTTAAGCATGCACAAAAACATAGGAACTGGGGTGCTCTGGACAGACGAGTCAAAATTTGAAATATTTAGCTGTAGCAGAAGGCAGTTTGTTCATCGAAGTGCTGGAGAGCAGTACAATAGTGAGTGAGTGAAGCAACACCATGCTTCAACAGTGAAGCATGGTGGAGGTTCCTTGAAAGTTTGGGGCTGCATTTCTGCAATTGGAGTTGGAGATTTGGTCAATTAATGTGAGGAAGCCTACATCCAAGCCTAGGGTTAATCCAGTTTACTTTGCTTCCTGCATGCAAAGAAAAGAAAAAGCTTTTTTTTAAAAGTAAGAAATAACAAGTCACAGAAGTTATATGACCTGAACAATATAACAGTGGGTTATTTAACTGTGTTCGTCACAGTGACAGCCTGTGAGAAGAAATTGTCTCTGTGGTGGCTGGTGTTCCTAAACAGAGCTCTGGAGCGCCTGTTTGAAGGCAGCAGTTTGAGCAGTGTATGTCCAGGATGTGAGGGGTCAGCAGAGACGTTTTCTACCCATTTCCTTTATTAAAGCTGAAAATCTGAACTCCAATCACATCTTAATGTTTTCATGTAAAATGTACTGTGGTAGTGCAAAGAGGGATCATTGCAAAAACACTATCATTGTATCAGTGTCCAAATAAATATGGATCTAACTCTATGACTGACATGATGGAGCTGTTCACAGCAATGTTCACAATAATGTCCATTTTGTGCATTTTTTTGAAAGCAAAGAGTATTTATGTGAATTGCAGTCATATACTGATGACTGGCTGGTGCTGGTAAGTGCTGCCTAACATCTACACAAATTAGAAATGCTAGATATTTAATGGCAGAGCAGAATTCATTCTCTATGTTTATGTACAAGTTTGATCAGAACGGGATGTCAGAACTGGCCACATGTTTTTCTTTTGGTTATGCAAAATGGCAAAACATTTACTTCCTAATGTTAAGCAAAAGTCTTTGCTTTTGCTCACCAAATGAGTAATTCCATGGAAATTCAATGAGCCTCCCATATAACCCCCTCCAAATCAGCAAGTTGTAATTTTTGGACTTTATCAAGTGTATTTGACCATTTTTGTAAACATCAATGTGTTTATTGACAGTATGCCAAATTTTATCATCATACTATAAATATATCACATGTTCCAGCCCCCCAAAGCTCATAGAGATAGATTAAAACTGGAAACTGGAAACAAATCACTTTTACGATATATCCAAGTGTCCCAGTCTAAAGTTTGGGGGCGACCGTGGCTCAGGGGGTTGGGAAGCGTATCTGTAACCGGAAGGTCGCCGGTTCGATCCCCGGGCTCTCTGTCCTGGTCGTTGTGTCCTTGGGCAAGAGACTTTACCCTACCGCCTACTGGTGTTGGCCAGAGGGGCCGATGGCAGCCTCGCCTCTGTCAGTCTGCCCCAGGGCAGCTGTGCCTACAACCGTAGCTTCCCTCCACCAGTGTGTGAATGTGAGAGTGAATGAATAGTGGCATTGTAAAGCGCTTTGGGTGCCTTGAAAAGCGCTATATAAATCCAATCCATTATTAAAGCCGAGTATCTTTTGGTTTCTTTCTATAACCACAGGTTTTTCTTTCCAACTGCAGTGTACCGAAACTGCACCGATATAATATCAGTGACTAATTGTGACAGAAACAAGGACAATACATAGATGTTTCATCTGTTTTATGATAAGTCACTGTAGAAAAGCACATTTTGGTTAAATCTTCAAGGGCTGTATCATCATAAGGGATAGGTGGTTGATCAAAAAAAGTTATAGTATAAAAGGTCACCTTTTTGCTCTTTATGCCAGTCTCATTTTCTAGCCATGAAAATGAGACTGGCATGTCTTTTGGACTTTGGGAAAGAC